CATTGGAGAAGACTGATTGCCAGCCTCCTGCCCTGTGACTATGGCCCCATGTTGAAATGCTGGATTTTCTCCTGCAAAGACCCGAAAGCCTGGTCATTCGGTGCTTTCCCTATGTGAGCAGTATTACCCAGATAGCTATGCCATGGAGTCCATTCGTATAACGAAAGACTATGTGAAAGACTTTGGCTCCATGGCAATTGAACTGTATGTATGTGATCTGAGCGCCATTCTTAATTTGCGCTCAGATCTAAGCTATCTGGGGATATGTTGAATGTACCCGTTTTATGCAATCGCTGCACAGTTATATATTTTTATGTATTTTATTGTATTTTGCTACTTTTTTGCTCCTTGGAGATAATTGGATTACTTCCCAATTATTTGCTACTATTTTGCTCCTTGGAGATAATTGGATTACTTCCCAATTATCTCCAGGATAGAAGACTCTGTGGAACTGGTTTTGGGCAGAAAAACCATGCTCCATTTTGTCAAATAGGACTTTCCCTTAACTTTTTAACCCCTGAACCGATTGCCCTGATTTTTGAGTATGTGTATATTTCAAGCATGCGGATTTGTATGTTTTATGTGAATGGCATGTATATTTTGGTAGTTATTAATATTTAGTAAAACTGTATTTCTCTGCCTGTTATAATTATATTACCCTTTGTGTTCAGTAATCATATCACAGGCAGAGGGGAGGATTTTGTGTGGGAGTGTCTGTGTGTATTGTACGGATTGATTGGTTGTATTTAAAAACCCTGTGGGCAGTACTATGTTTGTGGATTGTGAATAAAAGAGGCTGTATGTGTCAGTACAGTCAGTTCTGCTTGACCTCAAAACGAAGTGTCATCTCGTTATTGGGGGAATTGGATTGTATGCTGATTGCCAAGAGTGTAAGCTGATTGTATGCTTTTCCTGTTCAGCTGCTTACAGCATTCATATGCTTGAGAGCATTCGTATACTTCTCCGGTTTGGTGGTTGTGGTGTCTGCTGCAGTGCTTGGAGTCCTCAGGAAGCCCTAGGAGCATCCTTCAATGGAGGTACCCAGTCGGGATCCGTTACACCTTGTATTTTTGCCAAGTTAAGAAGGTCCCTAGAATGAACAAAAATAAAAGAAGTGTTACTTTTTCCATATATGAACTACGGTAACCTTAAAATGAAGACACCTAAGGTATAAATATGTGTACCTTTTAAATGTTAACTCACAGAGATTTGGAGACAGAGACATTTTCGCTCCATATTATAATGACTGAGAGATGCTGACATGTTCAAGAGGGTATGTTATTCTATTTAAAATGATATTGCAAGCATATAGTTTAATCTTATAAATTCTGCTATAAATATTTGTAATGGATTTTAAATGTCTATATTTATATTTTTATTTAATAAAATATCTAAAAGACAAAACTTTATTGCTTCCACAACAATCTTTAGTTGTGTAGTCTCAGTTATTTATATATTTTAAATAGAGGATATCTTGCTAACTATATAATATTATGGCTAAAGATATCTGTATGGTTAGCCCTGCTAAGTTCTATGCTTTAAGACGTTATAGTGGTAAATAAGGGAACCAGCTGCGGTTACAGAGGAGATAGAATTGGCTCTGTCTTTGACCTGCAATGTCGTCATCATTCATGGTTGAGAAGAAAGGAAGACAGATACGCTCAATCATTAACATTTAATCGCTCAATACCCTGTGTGTTACTGCCATTTCAAGATGAGGGCATACATCTTTTAATAGACCTGCTCCTTCAGAATGATTGGTTGGCAAAGCTCGATCGGAAGGACAGGTACCTGATGGTATTAGTAGGAGAGGAGTCCCAGGACCTGCTTTGTTTTCATTGGAGGGACAGGACGTGATGTGTCAAATGGGGAGCTCAGTCCTGTTTCCTGCAACTGTTGGAGTTCACTACCCTGTCTTCTGCCTTTGTATCTAGACCTCCTCTGACTCGGACGGTCATTTCCATCTGCTAATCGTAGAAGTGTTTCTGTCTCTTATCCTGTGGTGAATTTAGGGGGAAATGAAGGGCAGGCACTTGGGCTCCCAGAACTAGGAAATCATATGGATTCACTTGGTGAGCCTGGGCTAGCTGGTGATGGCTGTGCTTCAATTTTTTACTTCTCTCTATGAATCCGGACGGGCATACACGACTATCAACAGGCCATTTCTTTGGCTCTTGAGGGTTTTGACAGTTCCCTGGCTTGTCAACATCCTCTCATCTGTTGCCTGTTGAAGAGTTCCAGACTGTTTAGTCTGCTTAAGCTTAAATATTCTACTACGTGGGATGTGCCCTGTGTTCTTTCACTTTTCGGATCTTGGCTTAGTAATCCAGACCTTTCCTTGCATCAGTTGTCAGCCAAGCTGGTCACCCTCTTTTGCTAATTTCCTGCAAGAGGGTTTCTGACTTTGGTGGTTTGGATTTCGACATGTACTCTTTTACTCAGGATGGGATAGTATTTAACATTCACAGGCATGAAGACTGTGATTAAGTTGGTGCCGACATTCACCTCTATTCCGGCCTTGTGTCCAGTTGCCTGTTTGCAGGATTATAAATAATTGTACCAGTGCGTATAGTAAGGCTTCGGTCACGTACCGTTTTGTATCTCTTCGTCCTCTGTTTTCTGCGTTCTCAAATACAACCCTGGCACATTGGGTCAAATGGATTATGCAGCAGGATGGTGGAGCACATTCCTCCAGGGAGCGTCTGCTTCCGAGATATGCTTCCAAAATAAGGAGCACGTTTGGAGGATTTGTTGAGGTCTGGTAACTGGTCACCGCAATCTATATTTTGCAAGTTTTATTTTATGTTGGTCTCACATCTTTTTTTCTGCAGTTATTAAGCAGCTTTGAACTTGCAATATGAGCCTCTGTGTCTTGAAATAAAGTTACATGATTTTGCTTTTTCATAAAGAAGAGTCGTGAATTTATGAAAGACATTGAGGTGAGTATTGTCACTCCCTTGTATTATTTGGTTCATATACCTGTGTTTAGATTCTTCTTTTCCTTTCCAATTTGTTTTTTGTTTTCTGTAGGTGACCTACGATACGGTAGTTAATAAACTGTATTAGATGCTTATATGATTTTTTTCTGTGATCACGTGCTAGTTGGCCATTTAATTTTATCTGTGTTTACTGTGTTTGAAGTTCTGGTTTCTGACAGTTTTCTTGATTATTCTGCAATGATTATATTCTATTTTAACCTCTGGGCTCCTGTTCTTTTTGTGTCTTTGCAGCGTGACTCCAATATGATCCCTGCTATGTCCCGTGTTCACCTTTGTTTGGTGATTCTCCTTGGTCCTGGAGGCTGTGTTTCCAGTTTCTACGCTGTTTGTTGGAATTGTTTCCTGTGTGAAGCCATTCGTGTTGGATTGTGTGTCTCGGATGTTCATGTTATGTTATTTGTTTGCAGTTTGCTCATTTTTGTATTGTTACATGAGCAAGGAAAGGAGAAGTTCTGGTGGTGGTGCTTATGGCTATACTATAGGGATTGACTGGGATCACTATGTATCCTATTGCTTCTATTCTTATTATTTTTTTGTTTCTATTTTAGTTCAAAAGTGCTTGCTTGCTGGTTTAAACAAAATAATTGTCAAGTGATACATGTCCATTATAGGCACCCAGGCCACTTCAGCTCATTGAAGTGGTCTGGGTGCCAGGTCCATCTAGGATTAACCCTTTCTGCTGTAAACATAGCAGTTTCAGAGAAACTGCTATGTTTACCTATGGGTTAATCAAGCCTCTAGTGGCTGTCTCATTGACAGCCGCTAGAGGCGCTTCCGCGCTTCTCACAGTGATTTTCACAGTGAGAAGATGCCAGCGTCCATAGGAAAGCATTGAGAATGCTTTCCTATGGACTGGCTGAATGCGTGCATGGCTCTTGCCGCGAATGCGCATTCAGCTGATGACATCAGAAGAGGGAGGAGCTGGAAAAAAGGTAAGGGATTAACCCCTTCCTCCCCCTTCAGCACCACGGGAGTGGGACCCTGAGGGTGGGGGCACCCTCATGGCACTATAGTGCCAGGAAAACAAGTTTGTTTTCCTGGCACTATTGTGGTCCTTTAATTGATTGATCATGAAATCCAGATACAGCATGGGTGCGCTTTAAAGCCCAGAATTTCTAAACTTTCCACTAACCATTTAAAACATGGCAATATTTTCAATCTTATCTTGGAAATTTAAATATGGAAAATTTATGAAAGGCACACCTTGGTTTATGATAGAAAAATTTTTAGAATATATTTATATACATACAGTAAATATATATATATATACACATCTCTGTTTTGCATATCCTACAATATCATACAGTTTTATATCTCCTGTACAACTTTCATCAGCCATTATAAAATTGCCTTAAACACATTGATATACCATATGTTTATGGGACAAAATGTTAACGGAAAGTGTTACCAATACAATCCTGAATTCCTATAGTCGATGCTATAGGGTCTCTGTTAATATAGGTCCCCCTGTGTGTGTACTAAAAATAATTTTAAAAACTGGATGCTATGTTGTTGTTTAGCCATTTAGTCGTTTAGTCGTGTCCAACTCTCCGTGACCATATGGACCATAGCACGCCAGGTACATCTGTCAGTCACTGCCCCTCTGAGCTCCAACAACTTCATGTTTGTGGCTTCAGTGACCTCATCTCTCCATCTCCATCTCTGTCGTCCCCTTTTTCGCGTGCCTTCAATCTTTCCCAGCATCAGAGTCTTCTCTAGAGAATCTTGCCTTCTCATTGTATGGCCAAAACATTTGAGCTTCAGCCTCATGATCATAGCTTCCAGTGAACAGTTTGTCTTGATTTCCTGTAGCATGGATTTATTGGATCTTCTTGCAATCCAAGGGATTCTAAGCAGTTTTCGCCAACACCACAGTTTAAAGGCATCAATTCTACGACGCTCAGCCTTCTTTATAGTCCAGCTTTCACATCCGTATGTTACTACTGGGAATACCATAGTTCTGACTATGCAGACCTTTGTTGATAGTGTAATATCTAGTTTTTACCAGCTTGTCAAAGCTTGCCATAGCTTTCCTTTCCCAGAAGCAAACGTCTTAATTTCATGACTACAGTCACCATCTGAAGAGATCTTGGATCCCAGGAAAATAAAATCTGTCACTGCCTCCACTTCTTCCCCATCTATTTGCCAGGAACTAAGACTGATGTTTACCATGATCTTAGTCTTTTTAACATTAAGCAGCAAGCCAGCTTTTGCACTCTCTCCTTTTACCCTAAACAACAGGTCCTTTAGTTCTTCCTCACTTTCAGCCATCAGAGTAGTATCATCCGCGTATCTGAGGTTTTTGATATTTCTTCCAGCAAAATTGATTCCAGCTTTGGATTTATCCAGCCCAGCCTTACGTATTATGTATTTAGCATATAAGTTGAATAAATAAGGTGACAATATACAACCTTGTCGCACTCCTTTCCCAATCTTGAACCATTCTGTTGTCCCATGTTCGGTTCTGACTGTGGCTTCTTGGTCCACATACAGATTCCTCAGGAGGCGGATGAGATGATCTGGTACTCCCATCTCTTTAAGAACTTGCCACATGTTGTTGTGATCCACAGAGTCAAAGGCTTTAGAATAGTCTATTAAGGAGAAGTAAATGTTTTTCTGGAACTCTCTGGCTTTCTCTAGTTTCCATCGTACATTGGCAATTTGATCTCTTGTGCCTCGTCCTCTGCGGAACCCAGCTTGTACATCTGATAATTCCCGGTCCATATATTGTTTGAGTCGAGCTTGTAGGATCTTAAACATTACCTTGCTGGCATGTGAAATTAGTGCAATTGTTCGATAATTGGAGCACTCTTTGGCATTGCCATTTTTTGGGATAGGGATGTAGACTGACCTTTTCCAGTCTTTTGGCCACTGTTGAGTTTTCCAAATTTTGTTGACATAAGGCAAGCAGAATTTTCACAGCATCATCTTGCAGAATTTTGAATAGTTCAATTGGGATTTCATCAACTCCTGCAGCCTTGTTATATGCAATTCATCCTAGGGCCCATCTCACTTCGCTCTCCAAGATTTCTGGTTCCATCTCATAGGACCAACTATTGAGGTCATCATTGGTGTTAAGATCCTTCCTGTTTAGATCTTCAGTGTATTCCTGCCACCTCTTCTTTATCTGATCTTCTTCTGTTAAGTCCCTGCCATTTTTGTCTTTTATCACACCCACTTTGGCATGAAAGGTAACTTTTAGATCCCTATTTTTCTTGAAGAGGTCTCTTGACTTTCCCATTCTGTTATCTTCTTCTATCTCTTTACATTGCTCATTATAGAATGTCTCCTTGCCTCTTCTTGCTATCCTTTGGAATTTTGCATTCAATTGGACACATTTTTTCGATCTCCACTACCTTTTGCTTTCCTTCTTTCCTGGGCTATTTTTAAAGCCTCATCAGATAGCCAGTTTGCCTTCTTAGATTTCTTTCTTTTGGGGATATATTTTCTTGCGGTTTCTTGGATAATATTGCAAACTTCGGTACAAAGCTCTTCAGACATTCTATCATCCATGTCTAGTGCCTCAAATCTATTCTTTACTTCCACTGCATATTCACAAGCGATATTATTTGTGGTATCTGATTGGTCTGATGGTGTCTTCAGTTTAATTCTGAACTTTGCAATGAGAAGCTCGTGCTCTGAGCCACAGTCAGCTACTGGTCTTGTTTTTGCTGACTGTATAGAGCTCCTCCATCTTTGGCTGCAAAGTATATAGTCAATATGATTTCTATATTGCCCATGTGTAGAGTCGTCTTGGAGGCTGTTGGAAGAAGGTGTTTGCTATGACCAGAGAATTATCTTGACAGAAATGCTATAGCTTCCCTGTTTATATAGGCCCCTGTGTGTGTCCTAAAAATAATTTTAAAAAGCACTGCCGAATTTTGTATAGTTATCATATGTGTTCATACCATGCATAAATAAACATATATCCATTATTTGCATCAAGTATACTGAGTTAAAAAAACTACATATCAAATACATGAAAGCAATATAAGATGTTTTATTACCAGTACAATTTAAATTCTTCGATGCTTAAAACGGTTCCAGTGGAACTACAGAATAGATGTTTTATGCATGAATCTCATTCAGATTTTATATTACAATAATTTATATTACTTTCTATTTTTCCTTATTGGTAGTAAAACGTAATGTCAAAGTATCAATGAATTATTAAAATACATTTTTTAGAATGTTGATAATATTAATCAATATGTTCCAAAAACGGTGGTTATAGCTATGTAATGAATGTTCTTTAGCAAAACATATTACATGTTGATCTATATGATATGGGTTTTTTTGACCGTTGATGCCTATTGAATTGTCTACAAAGATTTATATTTCAGAAAGAATGGATAAAATATGTATAATCGAGCACCAAGAAATTAATTCTCTTACAGGATGCCATTAAAATGGTGGTCAATTTAATAAACGTGGAATTGTAAAATTCCATCTGAAAGGTATTTATAAACTAAAGTTTAGTAGTTATTCAATATTCAAGAAATACACACAATATAATTAAAATACTTATTACATGTCACTATAACACAAGCATGAACAAACTATTTTTTTTCTTAAATTATTGTGAACTAGCAGAGTAAGCCAGAAGTTAAAGATGGAGAGCAGGATAATCCTAGCTCTACATCTTAACCCCTTAAGGACCGTGAATGTACTAAAAAATGTACCAAAAAATTGTCCTTAAGGACCTTGGACGTACCTAGTACGTCTGCGGCATGTCCTTATTACTTACCCGATTACCGCTATTCCCATATATATATGTAATTTTATTCTAACTGTATTTTGAGATATATAGATATATATATATATATATATATATATATATATATATATATATAGCCACAAGTACATTGCTATATTGCTACATTGGCTTATTCACTAAACCCTTCAATATGGATGAATTTTTATTTCTAGCTGGAGCTTTTTCAGAACAAGCAGTTTATTTAGGAGGAGGCAAAAAATATTCTTTGGGAACAGACCGGATTGGAGTTACCGTATAATTTAACAGCTAAAGATGTTTATTTTAAATTTTCTAAGTTACATAGGAAACAAATTGATTTGAATTTACACAGACTTTTTCTTTCAGACTATTACAAAACTAAAAGGATTCCTAGGGGATTTAGGGTATTAAATGTCTCCACCATTGGCAGAGATAAGGCAAAGGTCTGTAAAGACTGGACCATGGTTTTGAAAAGAGCATCACTAGATATGATGCTTATTATCATCAAGGACGTAAAACAAGATTTAATTGATGTCAATCAAAAAATTCTGGAAATTGAAACTAAGCATGCTATATTATTAGCTTCAATGGAGGGGTTGAAATTACAGCAAAAGTTGAAAGAATATCTGTTAAGATATAAAAATGAACTAATCAGGTTCAAGAAGCAGAAGTCTGAAAGGGTCCAACAGGACTACCAGGACCACAGAGTCTATAGATGGCTGACTGGAAACAATATGCACAAACCAAGAAGACAACGCAAAAGAATTATCAAACCCAGGATTGTCACTATACACTCTGTTCCAAATTATTATGCAAATGATATTTTTCTCATTTACCTAAATAATTGATATAAATAACAGTCAGCATAATTCTCATGTTATCAACTATTAAGAGTACAATTCAAATTTTATTGAACAAACCTCCTAATGATAACAGTATTTTTTTAAACATAAAAAACTTACAATGCACTGTTCCAAATTATTACGCACAGTAAGTTTCAAAACACTTTATAGGTTGTAAAGAACTGAAAATTGTCATTTGTTGTGTTAGCAGCATATTTACTGAAATCAAAAGCTATTTCAATCAAACTTATAACAACATTTTAACTTTTTAAACATTTTAACAGGTTATGTTACATTTTAACATAGGACCCCTTATTTGATAGCAGCGTCACAAGTCTTGCATCCATTGAACTTGTGAGTTTTTGGACAATTTCTGCTTGAATTTGTTTGCAAGATGTCAGAATAGCCTCCCAGAGCTGCTGTTTGGATGTAAACTGCCTCCCACCCTCATAGATCTTTTGCTTGAGGATGCTTCAAAGGCTCTTAATAGGATTGAGGTCAGGGGAGGATGGAGGCCACACCATGACTTTCTCTCCTTTTATCCCCATAGCAGTCATTGATGCAGAGGTATTCTTTGCAACATGAGATGATTTTATTACAGAAAGCATAGTTCTTCCTTCTGTACCAGGGAAGAAAGTGGTCAGTCAGAAACTCCACATACTTTGCAGAAGTCATCTTTACACCTTTGGGGACCCTAAAGGGGCCGACCAGCTCTTCCCATGATTCCGGCCCAAAACATGACTCCACCACCTCTTTGCTGACGTTGCAGCCTTGTTGAAACAGGGTGGCCGTCTACCAACCATCCACTACTCCATCCATCTGGACCATCCAGGGTTGCACGACACTCATCAGTGAACAGGACTGTTTGAAAATTAGTCTTCATGTATTTTTCTGCCCAATGCAGCCATTTCTGCTTGTGAGCATTGGTTAGTGGTGGCCGAATAGAAGGTTTATGCACAGTTGCAAGACTCTAGAGGACTCTACACCTTGATGTCCATGGGACTCCAGAGGCACCAGCAGCTTCAAATATCTGTTTGCTGCTATGTAATGGTATTTTAGCAGCTGCTCTCTTGATCCAATGCATGGATCTGGCAGAAATCTTCCTCAATGTGCCTTTATCTGCACGAACCCGTCTGAATCAGCCACAAATCTCATAATAGTGCGATGATCACGCTTACGTTTTCGTGAAATATCTAATGTTTTCATACCTCATCCAAGGCAATAATGCAATCTCTGAGCTCATTTTTTCAAATTTTTGATTTTGTTCAACAAGTTTAACATTGAGAGTAGAGATCTCTACTCTCTGAGATATTGCGATTAATGTCATTTTTATTTTTCCCATTTAAATCATCCATCATTTTAATAAGACTTTGGTTTGATATAGTTTCGATAGGTATATTTGAGTCCTCTAAAGTTGTTACTTTTAAACCTAGCTCCGCCAGAGGGGGAGGAGATATAGATCTCCTTTGGGATTTATTAGGATCTGCTTTTGGAGAGTAAAATGTATTAATAGGTTTATTCTATTCTATCTTATCTGCTGGAGAGGGTTTTTAGGGAGGCATATTTGTATTGGTACCCTGGTATTAAAACTAGGAAAACAGACAACCAACAAACTATGAAAAAAAATAAAAACTAAACGGTCTTTAATAGTCCAACTATCTTGCCCCCTCTTTTTTTCTCCTTTCCCCCTTTCTCCTCCCCTCACTTCTTTCCTTTGCAGATTTATCCTTCCTTTACTTTTTCTGTTCTCTTTTTAACCTCTTATTTTCTCCACAAGAAAATTGCTGCTAGCTTCTAAAAGCTTCTCAAAGCTAATTGCCTAAATCCTCTATAATTTTAAACATCAAACTCAATCAGTACGGTATCAATTAGATCCATTAGTATCTAACCTTACAACCAGTTAAACTAAGAGGTTGATATACCTCAGGAATGTATCATTGTATCTTTAGTGTATCTTTACTCCTAAAAAGATAGAACTTTCTAAGCAGCAAAGTGGACACTCTGTCTTTCAAATAAATTGCTAATGCTGCATACAGTCTATAGAATAGTTAGTAACATAGTTGCATTCCTGGTATAACTAGTAACTGTGAAAGAGGATAATCATTTTCTCTAATCACAGAAATATCTTGTTCAACTCACAGTCTAAGCGGAGGTTTCGAGCTTGTTTATGTTTGTATTGTCTGTAAAGGTCTGTATTCCATTGTCACTAAGGGTCTCAATAAGATCCTTAATCTTCAAAAAGTTTATGATGGTAACAAACTGTATTCAGCAAGGATTTTGAGATATATTACACAGTCTTGTCTTGCAAGAATTCACAGTCGTAATGTGGCACTCAGCTGTTCTTATTATTCTCAAGTAAGAGCTCAGGAACGCTGAATTCAAATATTAAGCAGTATCAGGATCAACATGCAAGTGTCTACAATACCAAAGATTCACACTTGCGATGTAGCACTCAGCTGTTCTCAATTATTCTCAGGTAAAAATGCAGGAGCGCTGATTTCAGATATTAAACAATTTCAGTTTCGGAATGCAGGTGTCTGAAATATCAAAGATTCACAATCATAATGTGGCACTTAACTGTTCTCAATTGTTCTCAAATGAGAGCACAGTCTCACGCAGGTAGCAAATATCAAGCACACTGAATACTTGCAGTTTGCTCACAGT